GCCCGTCCTAAAAACTTGCCTCGGGGTGCGACAGGGAAAAACTATGTGTAAGAAAAGAAAAAGGGTAGGAGGAGCAGCAGGAGGAGGAGGAGGAGGAGGAGGAGGGAGGGAGGAGGAGGAGGAGGGAGGGAGGAAGGGAGGGAGGGAGGAAGGGACGGAAGGGAGGGAGGAGGGAGGCGAGCAGCAGGAGGAGGAGGAGGAGCAGGAGGAGGAGGGAGGGAAGGAGGGAGGAGGGAGGGGGGAGGGGGAGGGAGGAGGAGGAGGGGGGGGGGGAGGGAGGTGAGCCTCGGCCTGGAGAGGTCGAGCCTGTGTTGTCTGACAGCCCAGCGCGCTCACCGTGCACGCTCGGGTCGCAGGCCCCCTCCCGCGCGCGAGGGGCCCACGCGCATCGCTCCACGGGCCAGACGGACGGGCGGGGGTGAGGAGCGCCCCTGAGATCCTGGCGTTGTACTTTTTCACAGCGGGCGGTTTCGCCCCGTCTCGGTCCCCGGGACCCTCACAGATCGATCGGGCTCGAAAGCTGACGCAGAAAGATGGGGTCTGGGGCTCCCGTCGTGAGTTTTTGCGATGTTGCATTTTTTGTTCGCAACGTCGGTTCTGCGGGGGGGGGTAAGGAGGGAGGCAGGGGGAGAGAGTCTTGACCTTCCAGGGTTCCAAAAAAATAACCCTCTGGACCCATAGACCTGTCTGGACGGCCTGGAACCTCGGACAGGGATTTGGATGTCGAGGTCCTGGTGATATTTTGAGGCCTCCTGGAATGTCAGGGAGATAGGGGGTGAGGAGGGAAGCATGGGAGGGGTGAGGGGGGAGCAGCGAAGGAGGCAGGAGGGAGGGGAGGGGGAGGAACGAAGGTACTGGAAGGAGGTCATCAGCCTCGAACTTATCCCTATCCCTAAGATTGATACGCCAAAAGGCGATGACAACCTTAGGGATGCGCCCTCATAAACTAAGGGAATCCCTGAGATCGGCATCGTGATGAAGCGACGCCCAGCATAGGGACAGGGATGTGTTCCAGGCTGGTAAGGAGGGGCCGGACGGACGGGAGGGAGGAGGAACGAAGGAGGGAAGAGGGATAAGGCATGGCGGAGTGAGAGGAAGGAGGGATAAGGAACTCACAGGATCAGTCGACACGGAATCAGGACATCGGATCAAATCAGATTGCGCGTCGGATCATGCCGCATCGGCACGGAGCCCACATCGAATCGGATCTGCTGCAGCTGGATTCGCGTTGGGCCGCATCGGGTCGGACGGACGTCAATATCAAATCGGATCGAGCCACGCGAACTCGGAATCGAATTGGATCGATCGCACGGACTGGAACGCGAAGGAGGGATTACAGTCGGACCTAGGCCAGGAGAACATCCTCCAAGAACATGAGACCATCCGTCGGCCAAGAGAAGCAGAACATGGAGGGCACCATCTCAGGGTGCGCAAGAACATCCAACAAACACGAAGAACCTACTCCCCCTCCTCCTCCTCCTCCTCCTCCTCCTCCTCCTCCTCCTCCTCTTCCTCCTCCTCCTCCTCCTCCTCCTCCTCCTCCTCCTCCTCCTCCTTCTCCTCCTCGTCCTCCTCCTCCTCCTCCTCCTCCGCCTCCGCCTCCGCCTCCGCCTCCTCCCGCCTCCTCCGCCCTCCTCTCCTCCTCCTCCTCCTCTCCTCCTCCTCCTCCTCCTCCTCCGCCCCGCCCGCCGCCTCCGCCTCCCCTCCTCCGCCTCCTCCTCCTCCTCCTCCTCCTCCTCCTCCTCCCCTCCTCCTCCTCCGCCGCCGCCGCCGCCGCCGCCGCCCGCCTCCTCCTCCTCATCCTCCCCTCCTCCTCCTCCTCCTCCTCCTCATCCTCCTCCTCCTCCTCCTCCTCCTCCTCCTCCTCCCTCCCCGAACCGACCTCGACCTTATACCTCGGTCCGACCGTCGCTGAGCATGCTGCGCACCTGCCTGGCGTGCTCTGCTGCCCGTGCCGCTGCCCCCTTGTAGGCCCTCCTCCTGCTCGGCTGCAGCCACGAAGGACCAGAGGCGCCCCAGGGAGGAGGGGGAGGAGGAGGACAGAGGGGTGTGAACGACTCAACCAAGAAGCGGCTTCCACTCAAACTTCCACTCAGGCTAACCTTACAGGGACCAGGCACCGTGAATCATCACCACCACCGTCATCAACACAACCACAGTCACCACCACCAACACCATCAACATCTTCAACGTAATCGGAATCCCCACTACCATTCTCATCAGAACCATCATCATCACCACCACCACCACCGCCATCACCATCATCAGCATAAACGTCATCATCACCATGATCATCACGTCATAATCATCATCAGCAGCAGCAGCAGCATCATCAGCATCATCAGCAGCATCAGCATCATCAGCATCATCAGCATCATCATCATCATCATCATCATCAGCAACATCAGCATCAGCATCATCATCATCATCGTACCATCAACGTTACCATATCATCATCATCTTCATCATCGTCATCGTCATCATAATCGTCATCAACAAC